AAGAAGTCTTTGGAAGACTTCTGGGTTTTTCGGGACCAATACTAAAAACAACACTGTTAGGATGTTTTATATCTGGGGCACTTCAGCACTGACAAATGCCTTCTCATTTTATCATGCTGCAATCAAGATGACAAAAAAGTGTGGCAGCTAGTAGAAACTGCCCCGCAGCCCAACAAAAACAGGGTCTTGAAAGGAAAAGTTTGGCACACAAAAAGCTCCAAACACAAAAAAGCTAAACCTCTACCAAACCATTTCTGCTCGTTGTGAGCCTGCCAAAGCAGAGCAGACTTTCTCAACAGAAAAGGCTACATTATGCTAGAAGGAAATGAGCTGCAAGGCACAGGAAAAGGGAACGCGAGTGGAGATTTATGGCACCACTGAAAGCAGGCACTGTACTGCCAGATCAGGAGTAAGACACTACCAAAGGATGCTACCTCTGTTTTTTTGTCTATCAAGGAAGAAGGAGAGTTTGTGTTGCAGGGTATCTGCACTACTGACATCCATAACAAAGCTCATTGCTTCAGCTTTCTGATCACTATGGCTATGTTCAGCCTAATCAGATTTTTCCACTTTTTCAGAAAAACTCAAGGGGGAAAAAAACTCCAACCACTAAATCCAAACCAATGAACATTGCCAAATATTAAGTAGGAAACAGAATGTTACAAATGTTCTAAGTTTTGTTTAAGCATTGATGATTTCCTAAAGTACAAACTTCAGTGTATTTTTTTTTTTTTTAAGTCACTCTGTCCTGCTACTGCTTCTGAAGACCATGTGGAAGGATTTGTTCATGTTCACATTTTTTACTTTGCTTTTTTGCAGCTTTTGCACTAAGTGTTGTACATGGCCGCTCTGCGTGCTGACTTCTGGATGCGCATAGACTGCAGCAGAAAGACACATCTGTGGACAAACAGAACCATTGCCTATTTCTGGCATGAGCCAATTAAGAATATAAATTTGTTTTTATTTTCATGTTATGCTGCCAAGAATCTCTAGTTGCTGCTCATTTTTCCCTCCCCTGGTAAAATCACTCTCAGAGGTAAGCCTAAGCCGCTAGCCTTGAAAAGCTACAGGATCTCCCTGGAATTTTACCAAGCTGTTTGAACTTTGCCACGGCTTTTCTTGCAAGTAAAACTGTGGCATGTTTTCAGCTCCCCAAACCAGGTGAATGCATGCTCCAAACGATCCTGATGGACAACCGTATGTTTGCACAGACTGTGAAAACGTAAGAGTACACTATCATCCCTGAAGTATATTGCTCTGCAACTCGCACGATGCATTTTGGATGAACAGTTCTAAATTTCTCTTTAAAAATGTAGCATTTGATCTTTCAAAGGTATGCAACTTTTTTTTCGTACTGAGCATCATACCAAAATGTGGACACCTATCAGCTGTTCTTTACACATAGTCCCTGGACATTTAATTTTCTTTAGTTATGAATCTGAATCTCAGACTCTGGAGCATGGTAAAAAATGTTTGCTAGTGCCTCAAAAGTACCTTTGTAGTTTCTTTCTTTAAAGGAAGACACAACTCCCACCTTTATTTAACCACAATTTGCATTTATAAGAGGACAAGATGTTGAATTACATTTCTCTGTAGTTTAGGTCTGTCCTATTGTCCTGAAAAAGTATTAGTCATGTAGGTTTAAACACTGTGCGCTCTGCCAGCAAGCGCCATGTGGAACTGAATGCTAAAATATCAGTTAGCAGTATGTCTAACACAGATAAGGAAGACTCTTTCTTTTCAGAAACAATTTTTTTGTTGACGAGTAAGAACCACTGAGGTAATCTGCATTGCTCTCACAAGCTGGCAAACAGAAGCGTGTCCTGAAACTTCAACTAGCTCCAGAAGTGCAGTACTTGCACAGAGACTCAGAGAGCAGTGCTGCAGCACTGCTGTTTTCTGTGATCCCAGGTAGGATTGCAGAAGTAGGAAGAAATCACACCAAGATGTGGGTGACTGCCTTTCTTTCATCCACCTTCCTTTCTGCTACAGCCCTGGAACCGGGGTAGTGTTCCAGTAAAGCCCTTCTGGGAGGATCTCCTGGTCATTCCATATGCTACTTGACAAGGAGTTGGATCTGACCAGTTGGATCTGCTGATTGATTCAATGACCAGCAGTCAGTCCCATTTAGCACCAGTGGCACATGAAACATGAGCATGTAGCTGGCATTAGTACCTATCTATTGCTTGTTGCGTTTTCACATTTTCTGAAAAATTGAGTATAAAGACCTCTCCCAGTTCTGTGTATTTTCTTTCCCTGGTGTTAAGCTAGCAGCTTGCCAGTCCTGGTGACGTCTGTCTGTAAGCCTAGCTGTGGGACCTTAGGGCATGTCACAACAACAGGAGACATATCAGCAAGGACAGAGTGCATGGAAGTGCACGCAGGAGGGCTGGTAAGTATTTCCTGTGAAAGGCAAGGAGGAAAAATCCTATCCACTGCAATTACACCTCTGAACTTGGTGCCATCTCAGAGCACTGTCCATTGAAGAGGTATTTAAGCAAGTGGAAACTTCCTGTAGATGCATACATGGTTGTTAGTAAGCAAACAAATACAGTGTCAGGCACGTATTGCAGCAGCCAAGGAAATGTGTTTGCTTGTTTCCTTGCTGCAGTTTCATCACATGGATAATATTTCTGCATACACGTTATGATAATCCTGACAGAAGGAAGCATCTCCCATATAAGGGGGCTTCCAGCTCATGTACATTCTGCTGACACCATTGATGAGGTAGCAGACTAACAGCACCTATGGAACAAGGCAAATGCCATTTTGGGAGCGATGTAGGAAGATGAATTCCAGAAGGCAATTTCCAAAAGTAGTAATAATTGAACACAGTGCTCACAGGCTATCTGATCACAGTTTTGGTATTAATAATATGAGATGTACTCAAAGAGGGAACCTGTTTATAAGGGGTTTTATACCAAGCTTATGTGTGAGCAGAATGAGTGCTAGAAACATTTTTAAGAAACCTAAAGTCAGCTGATGCACATAATTTCTGCCTATGGTATATTTAGTTTTAGCTGACATATTTCACTGTAGTTTAATCTGCAGGTCTTCTAATGGCTCTTATGCATTCACATCCACACAATGGACTTTACCAAAATCTGAGTGCAACCCTACGGCTGCTTCCATGCAGCTTTACAAGCTCAATAAACAAATGCTTTAAGAGATGTTTATACATATACATATATATAAACAGCTGCAATTTGTATGTACACTTGCATGTACATTTCTAATGTAGGAATGGTAATTTTGTTATTCGGATCAAAAGTAGCAGGCTGGTATCAGACATTAATCAGGCTGCTGTTTCTAATTCTTGTACTTTTCTAAAGAACAGTGGAATGTGGCAGGAACTACACAGAGCCAACTCATGGAGCTTCTTACCCAGTTTTTCATCTGCATTGGCAAAACTGATGTTGAAGCACTGGATAAGAATTTCTCTGTGTAGCTCATCTCCTAAATAAAAAGTAATGGTGTTTTCAAGCAATGAGATAGTACCTGTCAGTTATTACTAAGTAGCCAATAAAGAGCGTGTTACTTCCTTTTAAGCTGTACCACTTCATCTGAGTACTGGTAAGCTTTAATGCGCAGCGTAACTGAGTACATTAGGAGGTAATTAATAGCAGGAGAGATTTGTTTGCATGGCATGTAACCGTATCTAAGACAAAGCAGTTTGGGACGGGGCAGACTGAGCTCTAACAGCACAGATCCTGGAGCGGTTGTGCTGGATGAAGGGGTGTGCTTGTGCCTGAAGGCAGGTTTTATTTTGCAACCATGAGATTTCATGGGGTCATAAACGGGCTGTGATGCACAGGAAGACCCCAGTGTTATTGGAACACTCAAATACAGTGGACGATGGCATTCACACCTCAAAGCCTTCTCTTTTGCCTCCTGACGTTATGCCAGGCGGGACTCAGAAAACAATCTGATCATTTCCTCCAACTGCCAATCGTACAATGCTTTATTTTGAACTAGCAGAGTTAGTGCATGGAAGGCAATTGTCAGCTCATTGATTTATAGTCTCATCTTCACAGTCTTTTCCAAATACTCCCTCACGTTCCTCTGCTACTAATTGCCAAGATTACCGTGCTCTCTGCCCACCCTGCAGATGGCTGGAATTGCAGAACAGCCAGCAAAAATGTAACACAAAAAGTTTACACATCCCAACGTCGGACAATTTCATTTCGTAACACAAAGATTCCCTCTTGTGTTTTTTGGGTATCTGCAGCACTTCTCACACGGATAGCATACAATAGTGACTTTGCCACGGGACACCTTCGAGTTCGATGCTGAAACCCTGAAGGGAAGAAGGCTCTCTGCCCCAGAAGGTGCGGCTGACATGACACCCCGCACTGCCATCGGGTCAGAGCCGTGACACTGCCCGCACGCCTTCCATCATTTGGGAGGAAGTCTTTCCCCTGCGTTACACTGTACCGGGCAGAGAGCTGCGAGCTACCCGCCGCCTAACGCCAACTCAGGGCAACGGGTGCTTCGGTCTTGCGCTGAAAGCCTTCGGCCGGGCTCCTCCCGTCCCGCCGTGCGCAGGCTGCGGGCCGTGCCGGTGCGAGGCGCAGCGCCCTCCGGCCGCGTTCCGCTGAGTGCCGCCCGCAGAGCCGCGCCGTCCGCCGGCGCCGTGCTTCGCTGTTGCGGACGGGCCGCCGACACGCGGTGTCACTTCACACCTGCACGCAGCCAATCCCGCTCCCGGGGCGGCTGTCCGAGCTTCCTTTAGCGAAACGCGGGGCGGTCCGCGAAAGTTTTGGCTCGAACGCTTCAGGCGCTTGACACCGCTAGGCTTTACCGACAACGCCAATACTTTACCCCGATCCGACGCCCCTGATGGGACGGGCAGGCGTTCCGCCGGCTTCGCCGCGGACGGGAACCGGCGCCCGTCTGCTCGCAGCGCGCCCGGCTGCCGCCTGCCCGCGGCGACCCGGCACGGAACCGGCGGCTCCGTCGGGAGGCCGCGGATCGGCCCCGCCGCCCGCGGCGACCCTTACCGATGATGATGGCACAGGCGCTGAGCAGCCCGATCTCCTTCTTCAGCGCCACCCGCTCGGGGCCGCCGGGCGCGCCGCGCTGCTCCCCGCCGGCCATCGTGCCCGCGCCGCTCTGCCCCGCGCTGCCCCGCGCCGCGCGCATGCGCCGCCCCCAGCGGGGCTCCGGGGGGGTCCGCGAGCGGGGCGCGAGGGGGCGGCGGGAGCGCGCCGGGATGAGCCTGGTGCTGATGCTGCGCCAGCGCCTCTCGGGGCCGCGCGACGGGCGTGCGCACCTGCAGCCAGGAGCGGGCACACCTGCTGCGAGGAGCGGGCGCTGCTCTCCCGCTTATGTGCGGGCGAGCGCCGCGTGGTAGCACCGCGTTAGCGGCACGGAACGCAGCAGATGTCTCACCTGTGATCCCGCGCGGCGCGCACCGGCCGCTGCAAAGCAAGCGCGAGCAAACAGCGTTTGTTTTCCACGCGCGGGGCACGAAGGTAACCGCTGGGACGCTTCGTTCCCAGGAACGTGGGAACCGAGGGGAATGTCGGGGAAACAGCGCTGTACGGGAACTTACACATCTTCTGCTCGGTGAACGAGCCGCTTTAGTAGAGCGCTAGCTAAGGAGGCTCCCTGTGCTCTCAGGTGAAATCAGAAAGTGAAATCCCAGCTCGGCAGCCCGGGCTCCTCCGCTCACTACGGTTTGCCCGGGTGCCCGGTGTCGGGTCAGGGCGGGCGCTCCGCGTGCAGCTCCGCAGCGCTGTGGGAGCCCCGCTCAGCGGGGAGGGAAATCCCCGCATGGGGACGCGTTCGGGAGGCGCGCAGGTGAGGAGCGCGCGGCGAGGCGCTGTCGGAAGGTGCGCGGCTGCGGTGGGGGGGTGAAGGAGGTGAAGGAGGTGGGAGTTTCTGTGGCGACATCTCTCTGATTTTGTTTGATTTTAGAACGGATGGAACGGCTGAAAAACTGGCGGCCGCCTTGCGGAAACCCGAGGAGCGGAGAACCGTAAGTGATTTTACTTCATAAAGCTGCTCAAAGTCCTGTTGTTTAAGAAGACCCGCTGATTTTCGGGGGCTGAGACGTGTTTCCGAAATTGATGTATTGCTCCATAGAATTGTTGTTTCTAGACGAATGGCCTCGCTAACTACTCCTAACAGGTGCTTCTATTGAATGACTTCACACTGTTGGTACGGAACCGCTTTATAGGAAGATTTGGTTCCTGAACTGCATACGAGATGCTGCTGTTGTCAGTTTAAAGCAGGGAAACGTGCAAACCGCAAACAAAAGTTCGGATGCTCCGTGATGTTTTAGCTGTTTCTCCTACGTGGTTTAAGTTGTTGCTGAGCCCTGCTTGCCATTGGTGGCAGCTGAAGTAATTCGTAGCACCTCTGACGGTCTCACCCAGACGCTACGATTAACTCGCTGCAAACACACCTGGGATGGTCCGTTGTTTTGTTCGAGGTAAAAATAGAGTTGAATTTTATCAAAGTACAAAACCCAAGAAAAACAGGAGCGAATTATGTTATCAACTGCATTACTAATGGTGTTACTAAGTTCTGTGAAGTTTCAGATCGTTTAACTTCTACAGATCAACCGCAAGATATGTGACCACTTAAAAGGATAATGCTGTACTCGGGTTCTTTTGCTGTGGTGGAAACGTTGGTTTGCTCTGAACTGTGTGTACAGTCTTTGTGTCATTGTGTGGAGGATGGAAGTCCCAATCAGTGCTCTCACACTAATGGGAAACTGCACGCTGGCTGTGGGCTGAAGGCAATAAATAATAGGATTCAATTAACTTCTTTTTTTCTAGCTCTACTGTGCAGTAGTTGCAGGTGTCTTTTTCTCTTTTCTCCTTTAAGTTTTCTGTTCAATACAGGGGGCTCTGCTAGTTGAACTATTAAATATTCGTTTATATCAGCATGCAGGTGTGCACAGTACATCTTGTTCTATAACTGTTCCTCCTTGATGAAAAGCATGAGGCATATCTTTGTGATTTGATTCAGGTGTGGGTGATGAGCAGGGTTGGATGCAGCTGTGTTGGTGGTAATGGGGAGCTGGGGGCGGCTGCTGCCCAGCAGCTGTGCTGCCTCTCCCTGGAAACTGAGGCTGAGTGCATGGTGTGTGGGTAACTTCAGTTAAGGGTGTAGTCCTGGGCCCTTGTATAGTTCATTCAAAGCATATTGATTTACTGTTGTGTTCCCCATCGTGTGTGCATAAGAAACATAAGATAAAATATATCTTTTTCTTCTCTTTTTAAAATGTTTTGATTTGTTGATGGAGTAAGCAGGGGGCAGTTCACAACACGAGCTTTCGATATGTCTATATCCGTAGCAAGTCACAAGGGTGTAGAACAGCAGTGGGCCAGAGCCCTGTTGGAAAAGGCAGTATGACAAAGGTTGCCCTCATTAGCTGCCAGAAGCTGCTTATTTATTTAGTTAGGCTGGGTGCCTGCCGGCTTCACTGCCTTTCAGCATGAGGAGAGGATTCTTCTCAATGCTGCTTGTGGGAGTATCAGCTGCTTATTGGGGTTGTTATTCTGCCCTATGGTTAATATTGTTCCAGAAGAAGCAAGTCAGAAGGCATGTACATTCGAATTACGAGCTATCTGAGACAACTTTCAGGGCAAAGCCTTCTTTTAAATTGTTTTGGATCTGGACTTGCAGTATCTAATTGAATGATGAAATGTTAGTAAGCAAAAAAGCCAAAGTTCTTTGTGGGAGGGCAATTGCTGCATAGCAACTGCGCAGAGAGGATGCAATGAAGCTTGCATGTGTTCTTTTGTTGCTATTTTTGTCTTCTTTTTCCTCAGTGTTCTGAAACATACAGAAATTATTGAAGTTGTTGGGACCAATTCATTTGTTCCTTATGCCTTTAAAAACAAGGAGGGGGGCAAACAGACTTCTTGCTTATATATTTGGGAAGAAATAATAAGGGAGTTCAATATGTTAGTTAAGGATGGGTGTTGTGATGGAATTTTCAAGTGAACTCAGTCTTTAATGTACGTGAAGTTTATTGGAAGAGAGTGAGTTTAAAGAATTGCAGAGATTGTGACAGTAACACCCTGTCCATGCTTGTTTTTGTACCCATCTAAAAAAAAGTTAAAAAGAAGACCAACCCTACAAAAATGTAACATCCCATGCCTGCTGCTGAAAACAGTTGTTAAAAGTGTAGTTCAACTTCCAGTTTAAAGGAGCCATCATAAACAATAACTGGGAAAAAGCTGAAAGGATAAAGCACGTTGTAGTGTGTCTTTAAAGTGCCGATTGGTTTAGCAAAAGGCAATTAGGGAAATAATGGGATTGTAAAGTGAATGTAAATTGCTAATCAACTTCAGAGGAAAGTTTGCCGTGTTCTTCTTGATTGTCACCTATTTTGTATCATTGCAAACTTTATAAATAAAAAATAAACATATAATTTTACCTTTGTTTCCTGTTAAAGGACAAAGTGAGGACTGAGCAACCAGACTGTGGGGAGTGTTTGCTACTAACCTTTGCACTACCCTCTCAGAATTTTGCTCTGCCCTCGTGAGCACTGATCTCCAGGACAATTCAAACACTGTGCAGTTCTCCCTCACTGCCCTGTAATGGTTAGTGTGGGTACTGGGAACACAGTGCTGTGAGCTGGAATCCAGCAACCACCTCTAACCAAGAACATCTTGTGGTGCGCAGGCAGCGGGGAGTCTGGGTTGTCATAGGGCATTTGATTGTCTCTTGCTGTTTTCTGATGTCTTTGGGAAGACTTCTTGCCCCTTCAAAAAGAGGCAGGTTTGTAATCAAAAGCTGGAGTTAGCAGCTAAGTGGTCTTCAGGCTTACAACCGTGGCTTCTAAGTAAGTTAAGCTTACTGGTTCCACTCTTCCATTGTCCTCTGCAAGATCTGTGAGCTTGAATCCAGTAATTTAGAAAGCTCAGGAGGTAATTCAGGCTATATAATTGTTTTCCCCTCCTCTAAAAGGGACATAGCTTTGTACACAGTAGAGAATCATCTAGCATTAATAACTCTCCACAGACCCTACAAAGAAAAGTAATTTGGCAATATATAAAAAAAATCAACTCACTTAAAGCAGTAGGCTTTCATTCTTAGGTTCTGGTAACCAGAATGTTTGTTGTCTTTAACGTGACCTATTTACCAAGCATGATCTGCTGGACACTTAGCTATCTGTGTCAGAACTCTGTATTTCTAAATTTCCAGCTGTATAAAATGGGCCATTGTATGTTCAAATTAAATCACTCCTTCAAAGATATTTCATGGTGGCTGATAAGTAGATGAGTGTAAGTAGATTACGTGAAGTTATTTGTAGGTTGTTGAATCATTAGGTTTGTATAGCCAGAGTTACTTGAAGAACCTACTTCCTGTTGAGCACTCATAGTGTTGGTGTGTTTACTGGAGTACATGGAAATGAAGTGATGAAAAGGAATTGAGACTATGATCAGTTTTGGAACAAAACTTTCTATGCTGCTTTTCTGACTCGTTTTCAGTGTAACATACTTTAGTTTAGCAGATTGCTAGTCTTTTTTTTTTTTGTGGATTATAAAAACCCGTAGCTGCTTTTCTTTTTTTTTCCCCCTCAAAGAACATGTTTTTTAAACCCTGTTCTTACTGCTTAAGATAGACATAATATTGAAGCTTAATGCATTGCAACTTCTAACTGGGTTGGAATAATCCCCTCAATTTCTCACAAGTAACACTTAAAGTATTGTGCTGGTGACTTGGGTTTTTGGTTTGAGGTTAACCGTGATGTGTTTCACTTCCTTTTCAGAAGGAATAGCCTCACCAGATCCTTTTCCCTCTGTGCTGCAGCCTATGCTGTTCCTCCCTGTTCTTCATCTGTGTGCAGGATCTTTCTTTGAGGTTGTTCTTTCAGTTGAATATCATTTTCCTATGATATTCCCATATCAATTGAGACTATCCTCAATTTTATTCCATGCTGTTTCTCTAAATGCCATTGCTCGCTCTTTTTTGGTGCACTCAAAATGAATATTTATCCCTGATAGATTCTAGGGGCCCACCCTGAAATTTCTTTCCAGTTCATAGGAACATTGTGAATAATCACCCCTTTAGAGGTGGTGCTGGGTGTTGTTTCCCCCTCAAAAATTTACACGTGTAAATTATGACAATTATCAATTGGCTTTTATTATCTTACTTATGAGCATGACGCTTTGGGCAGA